TATTTCAAACAATCAAAGAACGAAAATGTATATACCTGTCATACACGAAGACAGCTATGTCACATGCAGCCAATGACTCCTTAGATGAAAATAGACTTTGAGCTTCATCTTCTGGAATTTCCTTCATCACCAGAGTTTTCTTTGCACTCTACACCCATCAGATTAATGAGCAAATTACATACATAAACGTAGAGAAAAACAGCCTCAAAAGATGCCAAATTACATAAGTGTTTCCACTCACCTTTGTTTCATCAACCATATTCACTGCATAACGCTCATCTGTGGTTGATCCACTGTTATCAGCATATGACCTACATCATGAAGTGACATAAATTGTAAACCACATGGAGAAAAAAAACATGAATTGGATTGTACTCTCTCCTGTTTGTATTTTGGAAAATGCAACAAGTTTTGGAACGAGTTGATATGACAAACCTTCCAAGAAAGCAATTCAGTAAAGCAGACTTTCCAGAGCTGTTGTGTCCAAAAACAAAGCACTGGAGAACTTTTCTTTTACATTGTCTCTTTTTGCGATCTAAAAGCCTTCTCCTAGTAAGACGAATGGCAGAAGATGGATCACCCTGGAATCCAATGCAAATCAAATGTTCCACACTCCGAGCAGGTTCTAATAGTGTCATCAATGACCACTGCAATGATATAACTGGAAGATTAGGAAAAACATAAATGATAGATGTATATCCTTGCATGAAATTTTAGTTTGTCAATCAACAAAAATGAAACGAAGAAGAATGAGTATATGTATTTGAAATTGTGCATGCATACAAATTACAAAATGTACCTAAAGTTGTTGAGCATCTGTAAGAGAAGTATTGATTACCAGTGACAGGAAAGCGTCAGAAGATAGTCCTCCAAGGGCAGTTTTCTCTGCAGCATCTTCATATGGAGATTCCTTCCAGGGACTGCAATTCATAATTTGGCGTTTTAATGTAATCAAGATATGATAATCTCAAATTATACCTTTCAGGTGCAGTTGAAAAAAGATCCTCGATCTCTTGAGGTCTCAGATTATTATCCTGCAAAGTGAAAATTCATTATGTAAGCTATAAAAACTATCAAAACTGAGCCATTAATTTTTTTTTTTGTGCAGAAAACAAAGAGGGAAACTTACCCCATCCTCATCAAACAACATATACGTTTCTTTCAGGAATTCGATTGCTACATCTGTCAACTCAACGCTCTACAAAACCAACGAACACAATTACTAGCAAAAAAAATGCCAAGGAAGGCAAATTAATGTGAGCTACAATATAACTGTAACCCAGCAATGTAACTTGTGAGCATCCTAATTCTTGTTTTTGATATACAAGTAATAGTAATGAACCTAGAGTGTGTATTCTGTTTATGCAGTTTACCTGATCAGGAGCTCTCTTGAATAATGAAGGTGGGAGCCATTCATCAGCTAATCTTACATCATTGTTATACCCAAACTTCCTAAGTACAGTCCATGCTGTCTCAAGCCTCCCTTTCTCAATAAAGAGTGCATGTAGATACAGGAATCCAGTCACTGTCAGTCCTATTTCATTCACACCTTCTGGTAACTTCTCTTGCACAACCCTCTTAATACCTTCGATTTCAGAAAGCTGTAATGGTGCATGGAAGCACTCGACCTATATTTGAGACAACTATTAGGTGCATCATTGGGACAAGAGAAGGCAAACACACAAGTAAGAGGAAATCAAAACCTGAAACTGATCTAACTCAGCCTCGCTAAGAGCACCATCTTTATCATGGTCACAGAGTATAAAGATACGCTTCAAGGCTCTTACAAACCGTGGCTTCAATGACTGGGTTTCTTGATCAAACAAAGGTGACGTTGGGTGTAGGAAAACTTTTTGTGCATAATAGAAAACTTCTTGTGCCTAAAGAGAAAGTTTATTTTCATAAGCATGATATAGTTCAGGCCTGACCAGGATACATCCCAAGAGGAAAAAACACAAGTCATGATACCAGGATTTGCTCCAGGGCAGAGCATTCGATACAAGTCTCAATCTCCGGAAACTGGTGCATCATAGGTGACATTACTTGTTCGAGGCTGACCTGGTTCTTGGCTAGGTCAAGCTTACAGCCTGCTACTACTATAGGAACATTTACCTGTTGAGAGAAAAGATCACAAGGCAATCTTGATAAAGTAACAGTAAATCTTTTACAAAAATTTCAAGATTGACATGACTAAACTGAATAAAGAGAGGAAAAAATCAAACCTCTAGCTGTCTAAGCTGTGGAAGCCAGTATGTACTTAAACCTTGGTGAGTCTCAGGTCGGTCACAGGCATAAGTCAAAACCACTGCATCTGCGTGCTTCAATTCCTCGGTAACCATGCCCTTATCTTCCGGCCTGAACCCAAGATATGAAATATTTAAAAGATACTTATAGCACATCAACAAAGCCCTTCTTTTAAAACAGTAACTAAACAGGTGGCAAAGTGCTATGTTATTCCAACAACAGTGCTCTTCTTCATGTAGAAACCAATATAAAGAGATGAATATACCTTGAGGAAGTGTCAACAATGGTGACGGGTATACCATCAGGGAAGAACTGAAGAGGCAACTTGGTATCAGGCAAAACAGGAGGGACATTGGGAGGGAAAGAGTCTGTAGCTGCAGAGACAATCAAGCTGGACTTTCCAGTGCCCTTGTCACCAATCACAACGATCCGAACAGATTTAGGAATATTAACCGTGCCAGGTGAGTATCTCGCCATCTGAAACTGCAACGAAATTAAAAAAAAAATTTGAGTTCATGTTCATGGAATATTAAGTATTTATAAGTGACAATGGTGGTGTATTTTAACATTGACTTATACTGAAAGTCTTTTTCTATAATATGTGAACTTGCATGAGCTCACATAACAATTAACAAGGACCGATTAGGTGTTGAATAGAATATTTAGTTGTATTTATTAGTAAAAGTGGTGGTGTATTTTATCATTGACTTAGACTGTAAGTCTTTTTCTATAATATGTGAACTTGCATGAGCTCACATAACAATTAACAAGGACCGATTAGGTGTTGAATGGAATATTAAGTTGTATTTATTAGTAAAAGTGGTGGTATATTTTATCATTGACTTAGACTGAAAGTCTTTTTCTATAATATGTGAACTTGCAAGAGCTCACATAACAATTAACAAGGACCGATTAGGTGTTGAATGGAATATTAAGTTGTATTTATTAGTAAAAGTGGTGGTGTATTTTATCATTGACTTAGACTGAAAGTCTTTTTCTATAATATGTGAACTTGCAAGAGCTCACANATTAGTAAAAGTGGTGGTGTATTTTATCATTGACTTAGACTGAAAGTCTTTTTCTATAATATGTGAACTTGCAAGAGCTCACATAACAATTAACAAGGACCGATTAGGTGTTGAATGGAATATTAAGTTGTATTTATTAGTAAAAGTGGTGGTGTATTTTATCATTGACTTAGACTGAAAGTCTTTTTCTATAATATGTAAACTTGCAAGAGCTCATATAATAATTAACAAGGACCGATTAGGTGTTGAATGGAATATTAAGTTGTATTTATTAGTAAAAGTGGTGGTGTATTTTATCATTGACTTAGACTGTAAGTCTTTTTCTATAATATGTGAACTTGCATGAGTTCACATAACAATTAACAAGGACCGATTAGGTGTTGAATGGAATATTAAGTTGTATTTATTAGTAAAAATGGTGGTATATTTTATCATTGACTTAGACTGAAAGTCTTTTTCTATAATATGTGAACTTGCAAGAGCTCACATAACAATTAACAAGGACCAATTAGGTGTTGAATGGAATATTAAGTTGTATTTATTAGTAAAAGTGGTGGTGTATTTTATCATTGACTTAGACTGAAAGTCTTTTTCTATAATATGTAAACTTGCAAGAGCTCATATAACAATTAACAAGGACCGATTAGGTGTTGAATGGAATATTAAGTTGTATTTATTAGTAAAAGTGGTGGTGTATTTTATCATTGACTTAGACTGAAAGTCTTTTTCTATAATATGTGAACTTGCATGAGCTCACATAACAATTAACAAGGACCGATTAGGTGTTGAATGGAATATTAAGTTGTATTTATTAGTAAAAGTGGTGGTATATTTTATCATTGACTTAGACTGAAAGTCTTTTTCTATAATATGTGAACTTGCATGAGCTCACATAACAATTAACAAGGACCGATTAGGTGTTGAATGGAATATTAAGTTGTATTTATTAGTAAAAGTGGTGGTGTATTTTATCATTGACTTAGACTGAAAGTCTTTTTCTATAATATGTGAACTTGCAAGAGCTCACATAACAATTAACAAGGACCGATTAGGTGTTGAATGGAATATTAAGTTGTATTTATTAGTAAAAGTGGTGGTGTATTTTATCATTGACTTAGACTGAAAGTCTTTTTCTATAATATGTGAACTTGCAAGAGCTCACATAACAATTAACAAGGACCGATTAGGTGTTGAATGGAATATTAAGTTGTATTTATTAGTAAAAGTGGTGGTGTATTTTATCATTGACTTAGACTGAAAGTCTTTTTCTATAATATGTGAACTTGCAAGAGCTCACATAACAATTAACAAGGACCGATTAGGTGTTGAATGGAATATTAAGTTGTATTTATTAGTAAAAGTGGTGGTGTATTTTATCATTGACTTATACTGAAAATCTTTTTCTATAATATGTGAATTGACAAAGAGCTCACATATGCATAATAAGTTATTAATAACAGTTAACAAGGACGGATTAGGTGCTGAATGGAATATTTAAGTATTCATTAGTGAAAGTGATGGTGTATTTTACCATTTACTTAAGACTTTTTGCCCTTGGTCTCGGCAACTTAGTCTTGAAGGGCCAAAACGTCACTCTCGCTCCTCTCAGTCCTGTAAGAATTGAATTGAGCATATGCAAACACTGCTTCCTCTGCTCATTTCTCTGCATTGAGAAATTACACAGGATCAAATCTCTTTGCTGATGAAAGGAAAAGAACAGAGAGAGTTTTACCTTTTTCTGACAGTACCGGATCTCAAGTCAACCAGCTTGGTTGTCTGTACAGTTGGAACAGGACACAAGCTCTTTGTTAAGTACCTGACCAGTGATGCAAAACTGTTCAATTTTCTCAAACTGGTGAAACACGAAAAATACCCCAAGTGTATCGCTTCCATGGGAGCCAGCTTCTTTTCTAAAACAGGACGAGTAACCAGCATCTCTGGACCAAAAAGTGTAATGTCAATACATCTGGTTCAATACATAAAGAAACAAAATATCTAAACCCTGCAATTTATATCTTTACTATGTTTACCTTATGGGAAGCTCCCTCGGATGGATCCATTCATCCATATGATATGCACAAAGAGGTTGCTCAGCAGTTGCAATCAGGTATTTGTCATCTCCTTCACCAAACACCTGAACTAAAACAAAGATATACTCTCAGAATGCAAGTTCAGGACAAATCTAACAACATAATAATTAAAGAAAATGTTTTGTAACCTTTAAAGACCTTGTAAAAGTCTTTAACAATCTGTGCCAACTGTGCACACTTAGCCATGACTTCCTTCCTCATGAGAAAAATGAGATTTGCATTTCTGTGAACCCTCAGTTTTTTTTCAAGAATGTTAGCACAAATCTAATAAGAGCTTGGTTAAGTAGCAAAATCATCTCCGCTCAAAAGGAAAACGCCTCTTGCTCCAGCAATTTCAGCACCAGAGTTCTCAAAAACATCATCTTTAACGAAACTCACAATACCCATTCAAGAGGTCACCAAAAAGTGTCAAACCCATACTATACTCAACCTCTCTTAGTATCTGCCACAAAGTGAAACGCCACGGAAAGAAATGATACGAGTAAAGGACTGATATCAAACATCTTGTGTGCTCTTCTCCTTAAACAGAAGAAACAACGTATCACAAACTGAAGCATACTTTGTAAATCACATATATGCCCCCAATACTTTCAGTTTGATCACATAAACCCCTTCTTTCCGTTATTTTATTACCAAACAGCCAAACACAACAATCTTCACCATAAACATCCAATTTATCATAAATCACAGAAACACCCCCAAAACTTTCAGATTATTTAACAAACCCTTTAAGCTTCTTCTCTCCGTCCTCACAACATCCAACTAAAATGTACAGCAGGATTCGCTTAGTTGCGAAGACGAGTCTCTCCACCACGAGGCTCCTCTCTTCAAACACCTCCACAAATACATTGAATGAAATACTAAGAAAAAACGGTCCACGACTCAGTGTCCCCTCCCTGCTTCAGCAACGAGTCGACTCGGGTCACCCCGTCACGTTATCTGAGCTCCGCTTCATCTCCAATCGCCTAATCAAATCAAACCGTCACGATCTCGCTCTCCAGGTTTCGCAAAGTCTCTACCTTTACTACTAAACAGAGAAGAAACAGAGTATCTTCTTTACTCCAAGTTTAGATTTTTATTTAAGGAAAAGAAAAAAGTTTAGATTTTTATTTAAGCAAAAGAGAAAAAGTTTAGATTTTTAAGTTTATGTACAGATGATGGAGTGGATGGAGACTCAAAAAGAAGTTCACTTTAGTGCCAATGACACTGCTCTTAAGCTTGAATTGATCATCAAAAGCTATGGGTTTAAAAAAGCAGAGGAATACTTTGAGAAGCTCTCATTAAAACCAGCGAAAGCAGCTTATCTTCCTCTGCTTCGTGGTTATGTTAAAGGTAGATTGGTTAATGAAGCTGAAGGTTTCATGGAGAAGTTGAATGAGTTGGGTTTTCTTGTAACTCCACATCCGTTTAATGAGATGATGAAGCTTTACGAAGCAACTCATGAGTATGAGAAAGTAGTGATGGTGATTGAGGTGATGAAGAGGAACAAGATACAGAGGAATGTTCTTTCGTATAATCTCTGGATGAACGCGTGTTGTGAGGTATCTGGTGTTGGAGGTGTGGAGAGTGTTTATGGGGAGATGGTTGGTGACAAGAGTGTTGAAGTTGGGTGGAGTTCGTTGTGTACTTTAGCGAATGTGTATGTTAAGGTTGGTTTTGTTGGTAAGGGTAAGTTGGTGCTTGAGAGTGCTGAGAAGAAGTTGAATAGAAGTAATAGGCTTGGTTACTTCTTCCTCATCACGATGTATGCTTCTTTAGGGGATAAGGAAGGAGTTGTTCGTTTATGGGAAGGTTCTAAGTCTGTTTCCGGGAGGATCACTTGTGCAAATTACATATGTGTGTTGTCATCTTTGGTGAAAGTTGGTGATCTTGCGGAAGCTGAGAGGGTTTTCGAGGAGTGGGAGGATGGATGTTGTAACTATGATGTTAGAGTCTCTAATGTTCTTTTGGGTGCTTATATGCGTAATGGACTGATCTGTAAAGCTGAGTCTCTGCAGAACCGTGTGTTGGAGAGAGGAGGTAATCCAAACTACAAGACTTGGGAGATTTTGATGGAGGGATGGGTGAAATGTCAGAGTATCGAGAAGGCCATTGATGCTATGCATCGAGCGTTGAAACTAATGAAGGGATGTCATTGGAGACCGTCTCAAAGAATTGTCATGGCCATTGCTGAGTACTTTGAGAAGGAGGAGGAGATTGAGGAAGCAGACACATATGTTAGAGATTTGCATCGTCTTGGTCTTGCAAGCTTACCGTTATATAGATTACTACTTAGAATGCATGAACATGTTCAGAGGCCAGGTTCTCACATCTATGAAATGATGAAGCTGGACAACATTCAAATAGCTGAGGAGAGTTAAGTGAGAACTCATACTTGTTTCAAGAAAGTGTAACTTCCAAACATGTTAATTATAATGCATTCATGTCTACAATTAAACCACAACAACAACAAAAAGAAAGAAGAGATTTCATATGGTAACAAGCATTTTTACATTCAATACATCTTTAGTAGAAAAATGGGACTCTTTATATCTGTAATTGCAGGCTTCTTCTAGTAGAGGTGAGCAAGATTAAGAATAGTGAAAGGCCAAATATGATTGTGTTAACCAAATAGCATCTGATCAAAAGCAAATCTCAGCTCCGTTGCCACCAATTAATGCAGTGAAGCACTGAAAACCACTGGACTCAAGCTCCTCCACCACTTTGTCCACCACAGTCCCTGAAACCACTTATTTTACCAGAGGAAGTCAAGATTCAATGTTCAAGAACCCCAAAAGAAAAGGATGATTGAAGATTTTTGAAGAAGGATACCTGTAGGTAATAGAGTGAGGACGCAGCCGCCACCTCCAGCTCCTGTCAGTTTTGAGGTAAGCTTGTGCTTGAGCGTGGTTCTGATCACGGTATCAATCGAGCTGTGGCTAACCCCCATTGACTGCAGCAAGCCTTGGTTAATCTCCATGAGTTCTTTTACACTCTCTTCTTTCTCAGCAACAGAAATCTCGTCTTTAGATTGGATGATTGCAGCTAGCTCTTTGCTTATAGAGTCCACAGCATTGAACACCGAGTTCATAGCATCTGGATGTCTAACCGTTCTCTCTGATACACCAGAGACCAGAGCCTTCGTGTTCCGTCCTACTTTAGTGTTGGTGATTAGCATTCTCAGAGGCATGTTTGACTGTAACCGAGTTATCTCCCCTGAGCAGAACTTGATCATGTTGCCTGCAAAAAAAACACACACAAAACATAAATGGTTTTTCTCTAACGTATAGTGTTTTACAGTTAAAACTAACCGTATGCACTGACGGTGTTGTCTATCCCAGAAGGTTTCCCATGGATGATCTTTTCACCTTCAAAAGCCCATTTATTCAGCAACTCGAGATTGGTTTCATCAAGAGAAGTCCAACCTTCACCGTGGGTTTTGTCTGAGCTAGAAGATGCAATGAGAGCAGATGTAAGAGCTACACAGAAAGCTGCTGATGAACCGAGGCCTGATCCGTATGGAAGCTCGGTTGTAATGATGACCGTAGCCGGATTGAATCTAAAAAGCACAAGAACAAGATTCAAGTTATCTGAAAATCTCTTGAGCTTCAAACTGTTTTGTGTTTTTTTTCTTTACCCTCTGATACTGGTGTAAAGACAGAGGAAGGTGGAGATCCCAGAGGACAGCCAGATTTTTTCCTCTGGAATATTTTGCTCTTCAACCAAAACAGCAATTGATTTAAGAGTCTCGCCTGAACATGAAGCTGGTGTAGAAGGGGAAGAAGTGCTTGAATCATAAGGTATCACTTCTTTGAGTCTGGATATGGACCAGGAGAACTCCAAGGAAAGGTCCTTGAGCTGAAGTGTAAGCCTATCATTGTTCTCAGCTGTCAGAAAAAAAGAAAATGTAAATACTTTCAGATTTGTTTCTACATTGGAGACAAAACATCAAATATCACTTTGTTTCCACATTTGATCTGAATCCATCAGGTACTAAGATCAAGTCATTTGCTATAATTATGCCTCTAGATTCTTAAAGAAAACAATGTCCCAAATATGCTAAACTCAAATCAGTAAGCAGGCATCCAGAATGAGTTAACCTCAATAAAAAAAAAAAAAAATCCATTTGATACCACTTCTACTTGGAACATGAACATCCAAAGTCAAGAACCAAATGTAAACTCATGAATATACTGCAGATTCCAGAGTTTGTTTAGATTTGGATCTAGTTAGCTATAGAAACCAAAGACACTACATTCCAATGAAAAATAGCTTAAGATCCCTTCAACTAATCAATCTCTAGTTTGGTAACACTGTGACTTCAGTAATGAAGCATTAACAAACCAGAAAAAAGAAACCAAAGCCAGAGAATGTGTAAGAAAAGGAACCTGACTGAAGAGGAAGGCGTAGAGTGACGTAAGTGTAGAGATCAATAGCAGCTGCCACAGCCGTGGATCCATGGACAACAGCGTGTTCTCCTGCAAGTATGATCTTCCCCGGAGCTCTCGCTTTCACTTCCATCTCTCCTCAACCAAACACAAACTGAAAAGAGAGAAAATAAAAAAAACATTAAACTGATTTACATAAACAGAATGTCAGAAGATTCACCAACAAACTAGCAACTAACATATTCAAACACCAACGACATTGCTACAGAAAATGTGAATCAGATCAAAAAGGGAAAAAAATTTGTAACAATTGGGATTTGAATCGAACCAAAAAAGATTGAAACTTTATAATGTATAACCAAAAGGGTAAATGTAAAATCATCCCACATTAAAGCTGATCAGATCGAAAAAGAAGCTAACAAGTGTGAATCGTCTTCTTCCTATTTAGCTCAACGCAGAGCAAACAAATTAAATCAAACATATAGCAGACAACGATAGATAGATAGAGAGAGAGAGCATTGTACCAAGAATTGACGAGAAAAGAACCCTTTTTTTACAATTTACAAGATGGATGGAGAGAAATGATGTCTGAAGCCACCACGCACGACAGCGTATTTAGTTTAACTAAACTAAACGATAATTGTGTAAGAATAAAAAAAAGAAGCTGGATCTTGGTTTAATTTTCCGGTTTGAAAAATATATTAATACTTTTTGATAATAAAAAAAGTTATATATATATCTTATATATTAAAACAGAAGTCATGACTTGATTTCATGTGCAATTTTTTAAAAAATGAACTGTTACTAGAAAGTTATGTTACATTAACTCTCTAATAATATTATCATTATTATATCTTATAATATGCTTAACAATTTTGTTTTGATAAATTACCCCACACCTTCCAACTTAGTCACGCAAAATATGTCAATATATATAAATTTATGAATCTTCTATTATTTATAAGGAAATATGTCAATAATAGTTAAATGCATCCAGAATATATTAACAAAAATCACAAATTATTAATATGTAATATTTATATACCTTAACAAAATTTACACGTTATATATATTAGATAAATTTATTTCGAGGTAAAATTTTAAAATTGTACTGTTTAAAAAAAATAAATTGTTTAAAAAGTTCCTTTTTAATAAATTTTTTATAATATTAATTTATGAAACTATAAATTTAGTTTTTAGCAAAAAATTCTTCGAAATTTATATTATCTTTGCAAATTAAATTACACTAATATTTAATCAAGCTCTATTTATATTACTTTATCTAAAAATGAAATACTAATCTAACAAACAATAAAATATAGAAGAAGAAACAAACACATGTTTGAAAGTCATGTATAATATAGAAAATTTGAAACAATCTATTTGATTAAAACACTTATTATATAATATTATTAT